CCCAAGACTTCTTTAATGAACAGTTCATTTTTCCCTGCTGTCACAGTAAGCAGCGCAAGTGCTCAGGTCTGGTGCCCAGCAGGTCCACCTTTGAATCCACTTTCCTCCATTCTAGCTGTGTGACCTCAAGCTAGTTACATAACCCTTTTTAGGGTAGATTTGCTCACTTATAAAGCTGGGATGATATTGTTAGCTACTTTACAGTGCTATGAGGACAAAAGAGAAAATTCTTAAAAGCTCTTAGCACAATGCCTGGTACATAAGCACTCAGTAAATGCTAGTGAATGATAAGCTTGATCTCATAATTATTCTTATTAAAATTTCACAGGACAGATATGGTGCTGGGTCTGTTACCCTATAAATGTGGCAAATATAAATCACTGTGCCTTTGTGCCTGTCTTTGCCTGGATTACCTAAATGCTCATTATAACTTCAGTTACCAACTGATGTGCTTTTTATAGGCCTTGCCACCTCCCCCAGATTATCCCATCCAGCAGAAACCTTGCCCTCCTTTGAAATGCCATGGCCAGTTGTCTGGAACTTAACTCTTACTATGTTTTAAAATTATATTTTTTTGTGTGCCACATTTTCTCTTTGTAAGATATGTTTATCAAACTCGGTAGAGAATCTTATGCTTGCTGACTGTGAAGTCCTAGGTAAGTGGCTATGGTAGTTTGCTAGTGTTGCCATAAAAAATACCATAGACTACATGACTTAAACAACAGAAGTTTATTTTCTCGCCTTTGTAGAGGTTGGGTTTTGGCATAGTTGATTTCTTCTGAGACCTCACTCCAATTACAGATAGCCACCTTCTTGCTGAGTCCTCACATGATCTTTTCTTTGTACAAACATGCGTCTGTATCTCATTTCTTATAAGGACAACAATCACATTGAATTAGGACCTACCCATATGACCTTATTTTTCCTTAATTACCTCTTTAAAGGCCCCATCACCAAATACAGTCACATTCTAAAGTACTGAGGATTAAAATTTAATGTATGCCATTTGGTGGAATACAGTTCAACACAGAACTGTTCCTTGGATTTTTTTTTTTTTATGCCTCAGTATTTCTTCTTACATAAAATTGGAAATAAATTCTCCTTGTATGGACCAAGACAAGTAATAGATGCAAAGCAATACATTAATAGTATCTAATGAATGTTAATGACTATTACCTCTTCTCCTATTTTCAGCTCCTTGAGAACAGGAGTGTTTTCTCATATTGTGTACAGTTCCGAGGACAAACTTTAAACACAATTACTTACATATATTTGGTGAAATATGTGAATGAATGATCAACTAACAGATGTGAGTCTGTGGTAGGGTGTATGTGTTTCTCTTTAGATGGATCCAGATATTGGGGAATATCTGAGGTGTTTGTAACAAAAACTATCCAAGAAACCAGTGGAGAAATTAGTGTCTCTGTTGTAAGTATGGTATGCTACCTGGAGTCAGTTCTAGTATGGAAAATCTTCCTCTGTCCTCCCAGCTACAGATTTCAGAAAGTCATAGAAAATGATTTGTGACAAAATTGCACACACAAAAAACCAGAATCTTCACACAGCCAGAGCTCTCAAGCGATGAGGGACACAAAGACACTGGCACAATAGGTGTCCCTGTCCCCTGTCTGCATTTCGGCTGTCTTTGATCTCTGCGAAGGCAAGACACGGGCAAGGTACTGTGAATGGACAATAGTCCAGGAATCAGAAGAGCCACAGGCAGTGTGCTGCTCAGTGATCCAGGCGTGGTGATACCCAGACTGTGCATCTGATGATAAGCATCTTCTCATGGTGCCTTGGAGTCTGTCATTTCCTTCCAGCTTGACTCCAAAGGACCGATTCATCTCTGGCACCTCTACAATATGCCATTTTGAATCTATAGGTTCTTTCTTTCTGCGTCCACCACAAATAATGGATGTGTCATTATTTTTTCCTGGTATCACTACACTCTTTCTTCTTGTTGCTTTAGTTTCCTGCACTTTGCTGGAGTGGATTTGACTTTTGCACCATGCTTGTTAATTAGAATTCACTTTATTAGGCTAAAAAATATTGGTATCCAATGATTGGTTTGGGGGTCAGGGAATTGAGGATAAGTTCTTCTTTGATTGTATATGACATTAACAGCTCTTACAGGTGTTAGTAACAATTTAAGAAAATAAGACAAAAATTCTGTACCTAAAAATCATACCCTTTAATAATGGTAACACTTGGACAAGTATACATTTTCAAGGGATCAGATGTAAAACATTAAATCTACTTTCTGAGACAATGTGGAAACTGGCACTAGAGATCTCAGTTTAAATAAGTGTATGAGTAGCCGCTCAGAATTGAAAAGGATCTAACTGAAATAAAGTGATCGTCAACTTTCATCTCATATTTTAGTCACATAGGAAAGGCTTTTTGTTTGTTTGTTTGTTTTGCTTTAGGGGCAGATACACTCATTCAGTGAGTGGGTCTAAAGTCATTACTTTTTAAAAGCTTATTAAGTGATTGTAACATGCAGTCAGGAAAGGGAATCATCAATGTAGGGGATAGAGGAAAAGAAAGCAATATGTTGGAGTAACTGCTGTCTGAGTACTGAACTGGCTGCAGTGCACGCACTGTCTCTGGTCTGCACATAGTAAGTTCCATACTTCTACAAACTGACTGAGCCTCGGTCTTCGTGTGTGACACTCAGCTGCCTCCTTACCCACCATTGGCAGTGCATGGTGTGTATGCGTTGTGTTTCTGTTCTGTTCCTGTGCTCTCTGCTTGACATCCTACCCTTGGAAGAGGTGGTCTTACCCACTTGTGAACTTCTGAATAATGGCCTTCAGGCTAATTTCAACTCAGCAAATCTTTCTCAGCAATTCTGTCCCTATCAAACAATTTTTTAATTTTTAATTTTCCTTCATTTTTGCAACTTAGCTCTGGTCCAGAAGTACAGACATAACCCTTACAGTGCCCTTTAGCACTGTTAGTAGGCCACGTCCATTCATCTCCTCATTCTGCCAACCCTGAACATCTCCTTCAGTGTCTTTGGAAAGACACAGGTGCAAACCCACAAGACACTCAAGGACTGCACATGGGGTGGGGCTGGGAGTGGGGGACGGTGTTGGGTCTCTCTCTCTCTACCTGCAGGTCACAACAGCACAGGAGCAGAACATAGCTAGCTGTTCTGAGGAACAGTGGGAGCACAATGTCCTCATGTGGACGGAACACTCCAGCGGCTGCAGGGGTCACCTCGTACTGTACTTCCACTTTAGAAGGATCTTTCTTAAAACATTCTGGGGCCAGTCTTTAGGTCACATAGGAGACCAGAAGGTGTTGGATAACACATAGTAGAGCTAGGAGAGGCCTCTGTGTGGCAGCCTGTGTAGGGGAGAACATGTCTGCCCTCTGCACAGTTCTAACATGTGGAGGGAGGGAAAGTCTTCATCTGTTTTAAGAAAAGTGTGTCTTGAAAAATGTATCAGGTGGGTAAAAATGGGAAACAATTTGATTTAGCGAGTTAATGGATGAACAATTTTCTTTCTTTTTTTTTGGTTAATGTTGCTATTTTTATTAGCTAAATTATGCAGAAGTATTACTTTTTCTTTATAGCTGTAACCCATGTTTTATGTAGAAGAAATTAAAAATGCAACACCTCCCAAGTATCATATTGGTGTTTTCTACTTGATGGTGAGGGCTGGTAAGGGGGAAAGGTGTACATCATGTAAATGTATGAGAGCTTTAATCTGACAGTAGATGTAGAAGATTTTCCACATTAATTTTATTGGCAGCACACTATCTCATTGGACAGTCCAACTCAAATTCATTTAATCTATCCCTTATCTCTGGCTGTTTATACTGTTTATTATTTTTATTTCCATGTATTATAAGCAGTGCTTCAAAGATCATCCTTGAAATTGTTTGATTAGTTAACAGGTTGTTTTGTGAGGATGCCTATATTGGTTAAGAGAATCAGAGAATCTAGCAAGAAATAGTTTTGTATGATATTGACCTAAATTGTGCCTGTTCCCCAGGTAGTATCTACTAAGTTGTAAAATGTCAGTATCATATCTGCAATTTGGTTTGGTGACATCACTGTATAATAAAGATTCTGAATTATACTGTATGTTTACTTTGGATGACATAAAAATTTAATGTATTTGTGACAAGGAATAACAAGTTGGAGTACAGCAGGAAAGAATATAATTGCTTATAATAAATATAGGCTTAGCTTCAAAATAACCAGCTTAAAATTTCCCTTATAGTGCTCTTTAAAGATTTCCACTGATGATCTCGGAGGTGTGGCACCCAGCCACTGCTGGAATGAAATAACACACATTGTTCAAAGTCTGGACCATAATTGATTTAATGCATATTTTTACTACTTTAATGTTTATCTATTATGAAAAGAACAATTCTAGGTACAGGTAACATATAAGTAAAATTGTAAGAATTTGTAACTCCATGAAAAGGTGTTTGATGATTGACCTGAGTTTCTAGAAGAAAAATCAGCTCTCATCTATGTTTATATGTTCTCTGGCAATTTTTTATTCACTGCCAGAATTATAAAGTCCATCATGGGAGAATCTTTGCCTACCCTGCCCTCTCCTGTTTTGTTAGGCAGATCTGTGTCTCTTTATTTGGGTACCATATCGGATACTATGTCATTTTATTGCTGGCTTTGTGCCCTTGACTCTGAACCCAGTGGAGACGGTTGTTTGTATATGAAGGAATCTGTCATTTTAGTGTAAGGACTTTGGTGAGACCAATAGAAGAACTGGTTTTTGCCTTCTTTCAACCTCTGCTGAACGGAAAAGGAGTTTTTTTACTCAAGACCTCCTAAGCAGTAACTGTGTTTTGATTCAAATGCATAATCGCTGTGTTTTAATTGATGGGACAAGGACTGAAACTACAGTCTCTTGAAGACAGAATATTCTGAGCCCAGTTTAGTATAATCTTTCATTTCTTCCTGATCTGCTTTACCATTAACCCTACTTTGATCCTAATGTTTTCTTTTTCTCTTTTTTTAGGCAGGAGGTTCCCAGGTGATTTTCACAAATCCTTTGGAAATAGTCAAGATTCGTTTGCAAGTGGCTGGAGAAATAACTACTGGTCCCCGAGTCAGTGCCCTGTCTGTCTTAAAGGACCTGGGGTTCTTTGGAATCTACAAGGTAATTTTCCTTTTAGTTGCTTTGTGCTGATGTGCTCATCTCCTAAACTGGAAACTGCTCATCAACGTGAAATAGGTTCCTCATATTTCTATGCCTAGAGAAGCTGTTCTCCTGGAACCCATTGGACACCTTCCTGCCAGTTAGAAGGAGGTGCTCTTCCTGGCATCTGCCAAAAAATTAAGAAATAGGCAAATCAAGGATGACTATGATGTGAATCATGCCCACTGGATGTTTCACTACACAGCTCTTTGCAGCAACACTGGCAGGAGCTTTATTTGGATTTGCTGTTGATAAGAAAACCTAATTCTTAATGCTCCTCATGAATAACAGAGACAAGGATCCCAGGGACATCTTTTTTCAGAAGATTTGGTGAGCTCAGTTTCAAGAGATGCCCATCCCAGATGGTAGATTTATTTTCTAATTCTATACATTACAGCCATTATCAATATGTGTGCCTTGTTGTAGTTATCTTGAATCTTAACCATTTATCATTTAGAAAATAGTGTTTCAGAATAATTGCAAAACATAACTTTAAGAAAATTCGTGAAATTCATCATTCATACTTCGTACCAAAACAGTCATGGGATATACTAGAATGAGCATCATCTTTGCATGGCTCTAAGCCTCTGTCAAACATATTGTGTTCACCATTTTTCACTGACAAGATTCAAAAATAATTTTTTAGAGCCAGCTTCATTAAGTAAGCCTTTAGGGATGGGGAGGGACGGGGGAGTCAAATGTCTACTTAAAATAGTTTTTAATTTATTTACACATAAATAGATAAAATCCTGCTATATAAAATTAATACTGCTTTTCAGCACATATATCAAGAAATAGTTTATTGAAACTCTTCAGATGAATTTTAAATCAGTGCACGGATCACCTCCTAATCCACTTTTTTCATCAGTTGCTTGCACAGTCTTGCAGAGTACATCATCTTTTTTATCCCAAGACAGCATTTTTCATGCGCAGTATATTGTCCCTGGAAACTTTGTCACATAACATTGGGACAGTTGTTTTCTTTTTTTCTATTCCCAGTTCATCCTGCATGAATAGAACTGGCCCCAGCTTACCACACTGCTAATTTTTTAAAGTGAACCTAAACATTCAGCACAGCATTTTCGAGTTCCTATCCCCAGGAATACTTTTTTACCTTTTCTTTTTTTTTTTTTTTAAGATTTATTTATTTATGCATACAAGAGCTGGGGTACAGGTCAGAGTTGCGGGGGGTGAGAGGATTCACCAGAGACAGAGTGGGGAGCAGAACAGGCAGACTGACTGAAATACACTGCTGGGGGAGCAGCGGGCGAGACAGGAGAGGTCTGCTGCACCATGTGGGTTGTTCCCTGGCCGGCCAGGAATCAAACTTGTGCTGCAAAGGCTGTGGATTGCTTCATAATGTGGTGCTTAACCCCTTGTGCCACCAGGGAGACCCTACCCTTTTCTTTTCAACTCAAGTTTTGTAGGTAACCTTGGCAAGCATCCACTGTTAACAATAACTGAGGTTGTTTCAGGCAAATTTTCCTTTCCCAACCAGTTCGTCGTACCTCTCAGGTCAAGCGATTAGAAGAACATGCTGCTGGGCCTTTGTAAGGCTCAAATAGAGTATGATGCTTTCTTTTCTGGGGTTAGTGTTTTTTTTTTGGGGGGGGCTTGCTTTATATATTATGTATATGTAATGTCTAGGAATAAACATGCTGATTTCTTTTTAAGTGGCAGTAAAATGCACAATCTGATTGTGTGGCAGAACACAGTAATACACTTACTTCACGTACCAAATCATTATCCAGCAGCAAGAAATAAACAGCTTTGTCGTGAGGCATAGCATTGATCAATTTGAGGAAAAATTATCTCCTTTTCTAAATTTTTAGACTCTTGCAGACTATAACACGATGTAGCAGCATGTCATTTTGACAAGATGCCAAGCAGTCTTTCAACGGGCTGTCTGGTAAAAAGCACTTAGGTTCTGTGGCAGTGACTGCTATCGAAATGTCTGGATGGATAAAATGGTAAAAACTTGTTTGCTGACACAGAAACAGAGACTGTTAAACTACCTGCAAATGATACAAGACTGAGACTTAGTCCTTTTCATCTTCACAGTATTTCATAATCTTAATCCTTTTTAACACCTCTTGGAAGTAGCTGGTCTCCTGATTTTGTAGTTAGGAGAACAGAGGCTGCCAACGATGGTATCTGAGCTGAAATTAAGGCTCAGAAGTTTCTTGTTTCCACTTTTGTGCTAAAATTGCTTTCCTGAAATGAGCAGGATTGCTCAAGTTTGAGCAAGAGACCTCTCCCATATAAAGTTAGTTTAATTACTAGTCTGGTGGTTTAATCTAGTTCAGAGGCATTCCACAGGGCTTGGTGCTTCCTTACAAAATGCTGCTTTTGGTGTATTGGTAATTACCAAGTGAAGTCCTTACACTTTGAGCTGCTGGAAACTTGATTTCATTGTGAGAGCTTGACCTGGCAGTCTCCTTTCTGCTAGCCATTGGTATCATCAGTTACATTCACTGAGACCTGTCAGCCTGGACCTCATTCATCTGCGTTCACCTCTCAATTCAGTCAGATCAGCTCTGGCATTACCACCTCTGGTTATCGTTTATGGTATCCCAGCCTCCAGCCTCAGGCTTTGTTTCTTGTGGACCTTTCTTCTCCAGGCTCGCCTGCCTTACCCTTCCAGGTCAGCAATCACTTCAGCAATTCAAGAGCCATCCTTGTAGGAGCATCTTGGCTTTAGTATTGCTGCAGTTTGATGTGTTTTTGCTTCAGGAGGGCTCTTTAGTAGTCAGGCTGTTCTGTTTCTAGTCTTAGTTGGGTAGGCAAAGGCAGATGACCTGGAGTGACCTAATACTTCAAAAGCTGTAGGTCTTTAAAAAGGAGAACTTCTGTCTTAGAGTTAGTTACGACAGACAGGTAATCTTCATTCTCCTCTACTGGGGCCCTCTGTTTGCTGTTGTTAACATTACAATGCAGGCCCCAGGAGGTGTGAGTGGTTGGCTCTGTATGTGTGTTTAGGCCTGCAGTGCTTAACCTTACCTAAATTGGGCTAACTGGGCTCTCTATTTTTCCCCTGAATTGACTTGCAAAATATCCTACTATGCTGTGATTTCCCAGTAAATGGCAATTAGAATTTTTTCTTTAGAAATACATTTACAACTGAAAAAAAAAAAAGTGGATGGTGTAAACATTTCACATTCCTGGGGTTAGAAATAGTATGGAGCAGATACAGTGGACTATGTAAACAAAGCCCTTCTCTTTTGGTAACATTTAGAGAGATTTAGTTATAGCTCAGAGTAAATAGGTTATTGAAGTAAAGGCAGGATAATTAATTGTCTTTGAAAGAACTCTTTGGATGTTGTTGTTGTTTTCATCTGCAGTTTGTACTACTTTTCTTAAGAATGTATGAAAATTTATTTCCCTTTGACTAAGTAACTTTAGTTTCCTTGCATAAGCCTGTGGAACATAAGTAAAATAAATTCTGTAAGAGAAATATCTACTTTTTTCCGAAGGAACCAACAGAGCTTTAATGAAAGGATGGCTTATAACCTTAGGGATAGAATAAACTTATCAGTTAACATTAAGTGGAAGTACAGCTAATGTAACTAAAAGATGCTTCATTAAGAAGCAATAGAGTATTGTGTGTCTCTTTGAGGGCAGAATCTGATCAGTGAAGCAGTGACAAGGAGGGTCTATCAAGCATTGTTGAACACCGGTGCCAGATTATAACATGACAAATTAAGCATTGGCTCTCCATGGAGAGATACTTAGGATTATCTCTACTGTCTCTACTGTGTTCCAATCAAAGCCGTGTGTTTTGCCTCACTGTAGTTGACAGAGTATTCAAATACAATCTTTTGTCCACATACGTACATGTCCTGTATATGTATTCATTCATAGTGTGTATGTAACTGAATGGTTAGAGCTACTGTCCATAAAATCAGAAAGCAAATAATGATATTTCATTCATTCTTGTTTATTTTGTTAGTTTTCTCAAAGGGATATTGTTTGTTTTTTAGAAATAAAATACAAGTTTGTGTTTCCAAAAAATCAAGTAACTCAGGTATGTGAAAGAAAGTAAAATTCTCAGGCCTCCCTGGTGGCACAAGGGGTTAAGACGCAGCCTACGAAGCTGTCCAAAGCCACTGTAGCAGGAGTTCGATCCCCGGCCAGGGAGCTGCCCACATGGCGCAGCAGACCTCTCCTGCCTCACCCGCTGCTCCTCTCAGCAATATGTTTCAGCCAATCTGCCTGTTCTGTTCCCCACTCTGTCTCTGGTGAGTCCTCTCACCCTAACAACTCTGGCCTGTATCCCATTTCTTGTATGCATAAATAAATAAACCTTAAAAGGTTTATTCAAAGAATAACCATGCTCTTCAAAGAATAACCACTGCTTTTATTTATTTGATATACTTAAGAATAAAAAGCCTTCTGTACATCACAAATTAAACCCTTGAAAATATCAATGTGTTGTGTGTGTTTTAATACAATAGAATCTTTCCAAACACAATATGTCTTAAAACTCTTTCCACATCTTATTTAATAGCTGTATAATTTTTTAAAGTTTTTTAAAGTGGTATCCTATTGATGGTTTGTGTTTTTTTTGTTTTTTGGTTTTTCAGTTTGTGGATATTACAAGCAGTGACAGGGTTAATATCCCTACATATATTTTGAGATATTTTTGTAAGTACATACAAATGATACATTCCTAGCAATGAAATTGTTAGATCAAGGAATGTACGCAATTTTTAGTGACGGAGATTTTGTCCAATTGCCTCAGTTTATCAATTTTATCTTGGTAATATACAAGTACATAAGAGTAATTTTTTAGCAGCTTTTAAATATATCTCTTTCTGAGAGCTTATGTTTACCCGCACAAGGTAAACAGTGAAAGTAATGCTTAGTCATTATTTTGAAGACAAAATGCCATGCTAATTTTCTAACATCACGGAAACTTCCATGATTTTATTACCACCATAGCTGCCGTTGTCACCCTTTCA